TGAGTGAGGCTGGAAAAATTCTTCCACCCATCTCTGCCCCTAGGCCCCGACCCTGCTGCTGGAGTGAACAGCCGTGAACTCCAGAGGGAGGCTGGGAACCAGCTCAGATCTTACCCTTTCTCTCATTTCCCTCCGTCCCCACCCACAGCCTGCTGACTTTCAGGTTCACACTTCCTGGGCTCAGAATGAGTTTCATCCTGAGGCTGTCGGCTCAGCCAGAGCAAACAAGACAGCACGAAAGTCAACAAAACAGGAGAGCAAGCAGCACAAGTGACGTGGAAAAGAAAACTTGGAAGCCACAACAAAGGAATGGGGTTGGGCCAGGTGGAGCCGCGTGTCTCCCCTCTGAGCCGAACCCTGGGGCTAAGGTGGGCCCTGCCAGTCCCTTGAGGGGACTGGAGTTGAGTGGTACTTCCAGTGGATTCAGGCTAAAGGAGTCAGCCTCGACGGCCAGCAGGGGGTGCTAGAGCCAGTCTCACTGATGCTCCCAACAGGATGAGGTTGGGAGTTTGTGGTGTAAGGTTCCACCCTACCCAGCCCCATCTCACGGAGGCCCTCGGCTGGGTTGAAAGCTGCTGTGAAAGGAGCAAGAGGCTCAACTAGGGGCCAGGGCTGTGGGTGGGGGTGGGCAGGGCAGGAGTAGACAGGCTGGAACAGGAGCAGGAGGGAGGTGCTCCTGGTTCTCTGCTCCATCCCATGTGCTTCCCCCACGCCCCCTCAACAAGGGCTCAGGGGCTTGGAGCCAGGAACTCCTGGGGATGCCCAAGATGCCCCCACAGGCAGAGTCACCTGACAAATGATTTCTCTCCCACTCTGGGCAGGGAAAGCTCCCTTCTTTCAACATTGATTGTGCATCTGCTATGTTCCCAGCTTGGGATAAATCATCTGGGAATCAGATGGCCCCGCCCATCACAGGCTCATCAGGCCTGGTATCCCCGGGAGGTGGCCCAGGAGTTCAAGACCAGCCTGGGCACATGGTGAGACTTCATCTCTACAAAAAAAATGCAAAACTTAGCCTGGCATGGTGGCATGCGCCTGTAATCCCAGCTGAGAGAATCACTTGAACCCGGGATGTTGAGGCTGCAGTGAGCAATGTTCACCCTGAGGGGGTGACCACGGGTTCAAGTCCAGAAAGCTAAGCTGCTGGGCTGCAATGGCAATGGGAGACCAGACGCCCCGCTGGAGCAGCCGAAGGGGAATGTGGATGTTCCTGGGTGTTGCTCTTGCTGTCTTCCAAATGAGCGTGTTATACTCTACTCCCAGCACTTCTAGCTTGGGCCTGGCATTGGTCAAGAATCTGTTAGGGCAGGAGAAGGACAGGAGGCGTGGAGTACAGAGTTCCCCTTCCTCAAACAGGTTTCCTACCTACCACCCAGAGTGTTTACTTTACCAGTCACTTGCCATGCCCTCTACCCACCCAGTTCGTTCTCCCAACAACCCTGCAAGGTAAAAATTAATGTCTTCATTTTATAGGTGAAGAAGCCCAGTTAAAATTTTTGCTTTAAGTCACCAAATGCCAATTAAGAAGCTGAGCTGGAATCAAGTTCAGGTCTGTCTGTCTACAAAGCCGGAGCTATAAACAACTCAGGTAGGGCCCTGAGTGGGAAAATCTCAAACCAGTCTCAAACTCAGGCTCCTGGCCAGGAGGTCTCTGTATTTTTCCACTGCTCCTTCCGGCCACCACTTCACTTTCTCCTTCCTCCTTCTCATGAGGTGCCCCTCACCCTCCTCCCTGCTCTGATTAATCTGGTACCTGAGTCTCTACCACTTTTAGACTCTTACCTGTGAGTTAGGAAATTGCTGCTTGGAGCTTTTCTTTTAAAATATTTTATTGTGGAAAACTTATGAAATGGGTTTAGGTAGAAATCAAAGAATAAATGCAGAAGGTGGACTGATGGAGGTGGGGGGGGGAAGGTGACAATGGAAGGGTCAGGCTGTCACTCCCTGAAGCCACAGAACAGTTGGCATCACTGAGCGTGCAGTGTTTAGGCACGACTTGACTCCTGATGGGATGCAATAGGAAACATGCAGCACCCTCCAAGAGGATCCTCTGCCCCAGCCTACACACAAGACTGAACCTAAATAAAATACACCAGGCCAGGTGCGATGGCTCATGCCTGTAATCCCAGCACTTTCGACGGCCGAGGTGGGTGGATTGCTTGAGCCCAGGAGTTCAAGACCGGCCTGGGCACATGGCAAGACTGTATCTCTACAAAAAATACAAAAATTATCATGGTATGGTGGCACATGCCTGTAGTTTCAGCTGAGAGAATAATTTGAAGCCAGGAAGTTAAGGCTGCAGTAAGCAATGTTCACACCACTGCATTACAGCCTGGGCAACAGAGTGAGACTTCCTCAAAAAAAAAAAAAACCAAACCATATACCATTAGAGCTAACTTTTTTTTTTTTGAGACGGAGTTTCATTCTTATTGCCCAGGCTGGAGTGCAGTGGTGTAATCTCGGCTCACTGTAACCTCTGCCTCCTGTGTTCAAGCAATTCTCCTGCCTCAGCCTCCCAAGTAGTTGGGATTACAGGCATGTGCCATCACACCCATCTAATTTTGTTTTGTATTTTTAGTAGAGACGGGTTTTTCCATGTTGGTCAGGCTGGTCTTGAACTCCAGACCTCAGGTGATTTGCCTTCCTTGGCCTCCCAAAGTGCTGGGATTACAGGTGTGAGCCACTGCACCCAGCTAGAGCTAACGTTTAAAAAAATTTTTGAGACAGAATCTTGCTCTGCCATCCAGGCTGGAGTGTAGTACTGCAATCTTGACTCGCTGCAACCTCTGCCTCCCAGGTTCAAGCGATTCTCCTGACTCAGCCTCCTGAATAGCTGGGGCTACAGGCGTGCACCACTGCACCCGGCTAATTTTTGTATTTTTTAGTAGAGTTGGGGTTTTGCCATGTTGGCCAGGTTGGTCTCGAACTCCTGACCTCAGGCAATCTGCCCATCTTGGCTTCCCAAAGTGCTGAGATTATAGGCATGAGCTACCACATCCCGCCACCTTTTTTTTTGTTTTTTTTGAGACAGTCTCACTCTGTCACCCAGGCTGGAGTGCAGTGTCGAGAACTCGGCTCACTGTAACCTCTGCCTCCTGGGTTCAAGTGATTCTCCTGCCTCAGCTTCCCCAGTGACTGGGACTACAGGCATGCACTACCATACCCGGTTAATTTTTTGTATTTTTAGTAGAGATGGGGGTATCATTATGTTGGCTGGGCTGATATTGAACTCCTGACCTCAGGCAATCTGCCTGCCTTGGCTTCCCAAGTGCTGGGATTACAGATGTGAGCCACCACCCCTGGCTCAGAGCTAACTTCTTAGCTATTATCTTTTATTTATTTATTTATTATTGTTTTTTCTTTTTTTGAGACAGGGAGTTGCACAATGGCACAAACATGGCTCACTGCAGCCTCAATCTCCCAGGTTCAAGTGATCCTCCTGCCTCGGCCTCCGAGTAGCTGGGACCATGGGTGCATGCCACCATGTCCTGCTAATTTTTGTATTTTTTATAGAGATGGGGAATCTCCATATTGCCCAGGCTGGCATTTAACTCCTGGGCTCTCTTGTTTAAAAGAACATTTAACCCAATGTAATGTGTGGCCTTCTTTGGATCCTGATGCAAACAATCCAACAAATCAATGCAAAAGACATTTTGAAACATTGCAAATATTTGATCATTCCATAGAATTGTACATTTTGTCAGGTGTGGCACTGATTATTTAAGAAAATGTTCCTATATTTTAGAGCGGAACACTGAAGAATGTAGGAATGAAATGACAGAGTAGTTGGAGTTTAACATATTTCAGAAAAATTAAAATAAAACAAAATAGGCAATTTGAGATCAGCCTGGCCAACATGGTGAAACCCCATCTCTATTAAAAATACAAAAATTAGTGGGGGCACGGTGGCAGGTGTCTGTAATTTCAGCTACTGGGGAGGTTGAGGCACAAGAATCACTTGAACCTGGGAGCTGGAGATTGCAGTGAGCCAAGATCACTCCATTGCACTCCATCCTGGGCAACAGAGTGAGACTCCATCTCAAAAAAGAAAAAAATGTGCTGTAAAATAGAAAATGGGTGAGGGTGCAGGGGAGGCGAGCCCCCAAGTGGGGCTTGGCCTCCAGGGGTTCTTGGCTTTCCCCAGGAAAGCATTCAAAGGCTACAGAGAGAGGTGAAGAAAATAGCTTAATTGAAGCAGCAGTGTTTCAGCTCCATGATTGCTCCTGCACAGCAGGGATATACATAGGCAGAGAACAGCACCCCAGGGCAGTTTTGCGGCTATATTTATACCCACTTTTGATTGCATGCAGATTTAAGGGGCAATTTATGCAGAAATTTCTAGGGAAAGTGTGGTAACCTTTGGGTCATTGGGTTATTGCCATGGAAAGGGGTGATAACTCCCAGGTGTTGCCAGGCAATGACAAATTGACATGGCACACTGGGGCATGTGTCTGATTGGAAAGCTGCTTCCACCCCAGCCCTGTTTTAGCTGGTCTTCAGTCTGATCCAGTGTCCGAGCCCCACCTCTGGAGTCAAGTCCCGCCTCCTATCTCAAGGGGGATGCAGACTGGGAGACTCGTGAAGAGGCTCTTGGAGATGGGATAGTTTTGGGGCAGACTGAGAGGGCCATGAGAGAAGAAGCAGGTGAGTGACTCCTGGTGGGACAGCATCAGGGATGTGGTGGGGAGGAGCATCCCTTAGGCCAGGCCCTTGGGATGGGAGCAGATTGGGGGAAGGTGAGGTTGGGTCCGGGCAGGTTAAGGTAAAGGGGCTTGTTACGCATACGAAATAACAAGAGAAGAAAGTGGATCCCTTTTTCTTGAGCTCTGGGCTGGAGATGGAGACTGGGGAGGTGGAACATTTGTGTGGTGGAAGTGGATGTGAGAGACACACAGGGCCGCCTTCTCCATGATGCACAGGAGGCACAGGACCCACGAGAATGTCGAATCTAAGGGCCCACAACATGTTTAAATTTGCATCAAAATAAGAAATAGAACATATAGGCTGAAGAAAATGTTTTAATATTAATATATCGGGGCCGGCATTGTGGCTCACGCCTGTAATTCCAGTGATTTGGAAGGCTGAGGAGGGCGGATTGCTTGAGCTCAGGAGTTTGAGACTAGCCTGGGCGACATGAAGAAGCTCTGTAGTTACAAAAAAAAAAAATATTAGGCAGGCCTGGTGGCGGGTGCCTGGAATTCCAGCTACTTGGGAGGCTGAGGCAGGAGACTTGCTTGAGCCCAGAAGGTAAGGGTTTGAGATCATGCCATTGTAGTCCAGTCTGGGTGATAGGAGTGAAATCCTGTCTCAAAAAAAAAAAAAAGAAAGAAAAAAGAAAAATTAATATATTTGTTTTTATACCAACAGTTACAAAATAGAATTATTACTATTATTATTATTTGTTGGAAAAGGGGCCCAAAAGAGCAAAAATGCCAAGGGCACATATCTCTAAAAGAATGGAAAGCATTGGGAGCTAAATGATAAGAACTTAGGAGCACAAAGAAGGAAACTACAGACACTGTAGTCTCCTACAGACACTGGGGTCTCCTGGAGTGGGAGGGTGGGAGGAGGGAGAGGAGCCGGAAAGATCACTATTGGGCACTGGGTTTAATACCTGGGTGATGAAATAATCTGTACAACAAACCCCCATGACACGCATTTACCTGTATATTAAACCTTCACATGTGCCCCCAAACCTAAAACTTAAAAAATAATGGAAAGTAGGATCTCAAAAAGACAGTGGCAGACCCCATGTTCATAGCAGCACTATTCACAATAGCCAAAGAGGGGAGCAACTTGCTGGGCACGGGGTGGCTCACACCTGTAATCCCAGCACTTTGGGAGGCCAAGTCAGGCAGATCACAAGGTCAGGAGTTCAAGACCAGCCTGATCAACATGGTGAAACCCTGTCTCTACTAAAAATACAAAATAATTAGCTTGGTGTGGTGGCATGTGCCTGTAATCCCAGCTATTTGGGAGGCTGAGGCAAGAGAATTGCTTGAACCGGGGAGGTGAAGGTTGCCGTGAGCTGAGATCATGCCACTGCACTCCAGCCTGGGTGACAGAGCCAGACTCTATCTCAAAAAAAAAAAAAAAAAAAAAAAAAAGAGGGGAGCAACTCAAGTCCAGGGACAGCTGAATGGATAAACAAAATGTGGCACATCCATACAATGGAATATTGGTCAGCCTTAAAAAGGAAGGACATTCTGACATGTTACAACACGGAGGAAGCTTTGAGAACATAATGCTAAGTGAACTAAGCCAGACACAGAAAGACACACAGCGTATATTTCACTCATATAAAGTATCTAGAGTAGTCAGACTCATAGAGACAGAAAGTAGAATGATGGTTGCCAGGAACAGGGGAAAGGGGATTGAAGTTGTTTAATGGGTATAGAATTTGTTTTGCAAGATGACAAAGTTCTGGAGATTGTAAAACAATGCTAATATAATTACCACTACTGAACTCTACACTAAAAAATAGTTGCAATCAGGCTGGGCGTGGTAGCTCACGCCTGTAATCCCAGCACTTTGGAAGGCTTAGACAGGTGGATTACTTGAGGCTAGGAGTTCGAGATCAGCCTGGCCAACATGGTGAAAACCTGTCTCTACTAAAAATACAAAAAGTAGCCAGGCAAGGTGGGGCATGCCTGTAGTCCCAGCTATTTGGGAGGTTGAGGCAGGAGAATTGCTTGAACCTGGAAGGTGGAGATTGTAGTGAGCTGAGATTGAACCACTGCAGCCTGGTGACAGAGCGAGATTCAAAAAAAAAAATAGTTAAGATCACTAAGTTTATGTTGCATTTTTTTACCACACATACACACACAAATGCCAGGCTGGGCGCGGTGGCTCACATCTGTAATTCCAGCACTCTAGGAAGCCAAAGTGGAAGGATTGCTTGAGCCCAGTAGTTTGAGACCAGCTTAGGCAATAAAGTGAGACTTCATCTCTACAAAAAGAATACAAAAAATATTTTGGCATGGTGGTGTGTGCCTGTAGTCCTTGCTACTCAGGAAGCTGAGATGAGAGGATCACTTAAGTCCAGGAGTTTGAAGTTGCAGTGAGCCAAGTTCGCACCACTGCACTCCAGCCTGCGTGACAGAACGAGAATCTGTCTCTAGAAAAAAAAAATGCCAAGGGCCTACTAAAGTCCTAATGTGGCCCTAGGGTGGAGAGGAAACTGCCCAGAGATGGAGCCTGAGGGAGGTCGAGGCAGGGGGGTTGTGCTGTGGGAAGAGCCTCAGCGGTGAGAGTCTCCCTCCATCCATGCTCCAGCCTTCTCTCTCCTGTTTATGGAAGTACTGGGGCATCCTCGAACTGGGCTAGGAGCCAGGACAACTGGGTTTGACTCACGCTAGCCCTTGGGCTATCACAAAAGCAAAAGAGACAGTATCTGCTCACCTAGCCCAGCCTGGCCCAGCCCACACCTTAGGGACAAGTGCAGGCGTGGGAGGATTCTCCATCTACCCAGGGAGAGGCGCCCAGGAATGAGGGACGTGCCACTCTGCCTGGGGTCTGCATGTCCCACCAAGCCTTCCTGGCTGAGGCTCAATGCCCATGGGTGCTAGTACCCCAGACCCTGACCGCACAGATCTCTGCACAGGCCCTTGGTGCAATCACTGTGCTCCTGGAAAGCTGCCAATTGAATCCCACCTTCCCGTTGGCTCACTTGGACATTTCAAAGCTGCTTTCCTGCTGAAGAGGGGCTCGCTGTGAGCATTTCTAGTGTCTTTGTTCCCTGTTTGTCCTTAAGGGGATAGCTATGTGTAGAGAAGCCTCAGGATTTGGACAGAGATGAATGACGGGGGAGGGTTTCTCAAGGAGCAGCTGGCCCTGGCCTACTTGGAGGCAAGCAAGGAGGCTGTCCCACCAGGGAGTCCCCAGCTTGAGTGAGGAGAATGAGCAGTCACACTGCACTGTGGCTACCTCCTTTCCCTGGCTGAGCAGGAGAGTGGAGAGAGTGCAGCTTGCCCGGGGGAAACCGAGATGGGCTCCCTGCCCACCCTAATCCCCCTGTTCCAGACCTACAGCCCCTGACCAGATCAGATAGGGCACGTTCCTGCAGCGAGCTGCCCACTTACTGGGACCGTGCTGACGCAAGCAGGGAAATATTAACCCGGCAGAATGGGTGCATGCTCATGTGTGCACAACTTGGGGCGTGTGTGTGTGTGTGTGTGTGTCTCACTACAGAGAGGCTTTCATGAGCAAGACCAGACATATAAGCACATGCATACGTGTGCACACACACACACACACACTCCTGTCCATCCGCACAGGCACGTGCTCATATATTGGTATATACAAAGACGAAAATGCTTCTCACATATGCTAATTTCTTCAGAGCTGTCTCCCTGGCTGCTTCTGTTAATAAGACCCCCCACTTCCTTCAGGAAGTTTTCCCTGATAACTCCAGCTCATACTAGAGAGTGACAAGCCTGAGCTCAATCCCTGGTTTCAGATGACAAATTAGGGAGCTTGATATAGGCTCTTTTAGAGTGGAGTAGGCCTAGGTTGGAATTCTGGGTTCTTGACTTCTTGGGATCTTTGCCGTTGGACAAGTGGCTGTGCCTGATCCTGCCTGCCTTAGTCTCCATGTGCTCTGTCCTGAAGCCCCAGGGATGACTCTGAGAAGGATGAGAGCCTGGGTGGGGGGGGGGCGGTGAGGGGGAGTTTTGGTAATTGGTAGGTGTGAGTTAAAGAGTTAAAGACTTTCCTGGGTCCTGCCTGTGCCCTTGCCACTCCCCAGCCTTGCTGCCTAGTAGGGGAACCCTGGTTTCCTTGGGGTGGGCCACAGCCCTAGTCTGGATGTTCTAGTTCTGGGTGATCTTGGGCAAGTTGTTACTTTGCTCTGAATCTGTTTTCCTACCTGAAAAATGAGTTTGGAAGGAGACAATTACCTGGGTGAGGCTTGTCTTTTTTGGGGGGGGGCGGGGGGCATTCTGAGAACCTTCATGGCTTTAGATGATTCCAGCCTGATTGAGGGACCTACTCTGCCCTCCTCCCCGACCTCTGCCCCTGAAGCCAGAGCAGCTCCTTCCTGATTTGTTTATACTATGGGCTCCTGAGTTATGCAAAGGATTCTGTGGCTCGAAAGAATCTGAAAAACCACAAAAGTTCTAACTGGTGTGAGATGAATAATTTTTTTATGAAAAAGAAATGTAAAAAAAAACCCCACAAATGTAAAACAATGTGATGAAAAGCAGTTTTGGTGATAAGTTAATCAAATGGCATGTTGATTCAAACAAATAATTTAATAAAAATGTTTAATTTTTAGTTTTTTGTTATTTTTTTGGAAAAGGAGTTTCACTCTTGTTGCCCAGGCGGAAGTGCAATGGCAGGATCTTGGCTCCCCTCAACCTCCACCTTCCAGGTTCAAGCGATTCTCCTGCCTCAGCCTCCCTAGTAGCTGGGATTACAGGTATGTGCCACCATGCCCAGCTAATTTTGTATTTTTTTTAGTAGAGAAAGGGTTTCACCATGTTGGTCAGGCTGGTTTCGAACTCCTGACCTCAGGTGATCCACCTGCTTCGGCCTCCCAAAATCCTGGGATTACAGGCCTGAGCCACCGGGCTTGGCCTCAAAGTGTTTTGTTTTTAGAGACAGGGTCTCGATATATTGCCTAGGCTGAAGTGCAGTGGCTATTCACAGGTGCAATCCCACTACTGATCAGCATGGGAGTTTTGACCTGCTCTGTTTCGGACCTGGGCCAGTTCACCCCTCCTTAGGCAACCTGGTGGTCCCCTGCTTCCGGGAGGTCACCCTATTGATGCTTAACTTCATGCGGACACCTGATCAGCATACCGCACTACAGCCCAGAACTCCGTGCTTTGTTATTTTTAATGTCAACACTTTGGGGGACCTTAGGGGGCAGTTTTTAGCATCATTAGTTATTTCTGTTTCTTCATTCTGATATTTTAAATTTTTGATTTGCAGCTGGGTTCGGTGGCTCATGCCTGTAATCCCAGTACCTTGGGAAACCAAGGCAGGCGGATCACCAGAGGTCGGGAGTTTAAGACCAGCCTGCCCAACATGAGTAATACTGTCTCTACTAAAAATACAAAATTAGCCAGGCATGATGGTTCATGCCGTAATCCCAGCTACTTGGGAGGCTGAGGCAGGAGAATCACTTGAACCCAGGAGGTGGAGGTTGTGGTGAGCTGAGATCATGCCATTGCACTCCAGCCTGGGCAACAAAAGCAAAACTCCATGTCAAAAAAAATTTTTTATTTGCATTTTCATTCCTAATTGAGTTTCAGCCAATTGTGTTTGCCCTCATGCTGTTCATAATAGAGAAGAGTTGGGTCTGTTTAAAATTAGAGACACTCTAAATGCCCATCAACAGAAGGATTCCACATTACAGAATCTCCATTATGTAGAATGCTGTATAGCCACAGGCATGAGGTGAACATGGACCTATCGGTATGGAAAGATATTCTCGATAAATGTTTGAATGAAAAAGTATTGTATTTTATTTTTGTTTATTTATTTTTTGAGAATGAGTCTCACTCTGTCACCCAGGCTGGAGCGCAGTGGCACCATCTTAGCTCACTACAACCTCTGCCTCCCAGGTTCAAGTAATTCTCCTGTCTCAGCCTCCTGAGTAGCTGAGACTATAGGTGCCTGCCATCTTGCCCGGCTAATTTTTGCAATTTTATTAGAGATGGGGTTTCACCATGTTGGCCAGGCTGGTCTCGAACTCCTGACCTCAGGTGATCCACCTTGTCTCAGCCTTCCAAAGTGCTGAAATTACAGGTGTGAGTAGAGTAAGTAGAGTAATACTTTTGTAGAGTTTTACAAAACTTTACAAAAATTTTGTTAACAAAATGGGGAGGAATAGGTATATGTGTATACATTAAAAAAGGGGGCCAGGCATGGTGGCTCTCACCTATAATCTCAGCACTTTGGGAGGCTAAGGAAGGCGGATCACTTGAGGTCAGGAGTTCAAGGCCAGCCTGGCCAACATGGTGAAACCCCGTTTCTACCAAAAATACAAAAAATTAGCTAGGCATGGTGGGTTGCACCTGTAATCCCAGTTATTTGGGATTCTGAGGCAGGAGAATTGCTTGAATCTGGGAGGCAGAGGTTGCAGTGAGCCGAATTGCACCATTGCACTCCGGCTTGGGCAATAAGAGTGAAAACTCTGTCTCAAAAAAAAAAAAAAAAATAGCGTTAGAAGTAAACCTACCAAACATTAACAGTAGCTGTATTTTAGGTAATAAAATACTAAAAGAAAAAAATCTGAGATTCTTTATTTTTTATTTTTAAAAAATTTCCAGTTCAGGCCAGGCATGGTGGCTCACACCTGTACTTCCAGCACTTTGGGAGGCTGAGGCGGGTAGATCACGAGAGCAGGAGTTTGAGACCAGCCTGGCCAATATGGCGAAACCCCATCTCTACTAAAAAATACAAAAATTAGCCAGGCGTGGTGGCGCATGCCTGTAGTCCCAGCTACTCAGGAGGCTGAGGCAGGAGAATCGCTTGAACCTGGGAGGCAGAGGTTGCAGTGAGCCAAGATTGTGCCATTGCCTGGGCGACAGAGAGAGACTCAATCTCAAAAAAAAAAATTTCAGTTCAATAAAAGACAATTATGTCCTCTAGGCTTGTTTGGCTCTGTGTTCAGAAATATTTAAATTTTTGGTTAGGTAGACATTAATGTCCCCATTTGCCAGTTCATACTGTAAGATTTTTATTGATTGATTCATTGATTTTAGACAGAGTCTCACTCTGTCACCCAGGCTGGAGTGCAGTGGCGTGATCTCGGTTCACTGCAACCTCCGCCTCCTGGGTCAAGCAATTCTCCTGCCTCAGCCCTAGTAGCTGGATTACAGGTGCTCACCACCATGCCTGGCTAATTTTTGATGTTGTTGCTGTTGTTGTTTTTGAGATGGAGTCTCCCTCTGTCATCCAGGCTGGAGTGCAGTGGCACAATCTTGGCTCACCACAGCCTCTGCCTGCCTGGTTCAAGAGATTTTCCTGCCTTAGCCTCTCAAGTAACTGGGATTACAGGCACCCACCACCACACTCAGCTAATTTTTGTATTTTCAGTAAAGATGGGGCCATGTTGGCCAGGCTGGTCTCGAACCCCTGACCTCAAGTGATCTGCCTTCCTCAGCCTCCCAAAGTGCTGTGATTACAGGTATGAGCCACCACGCCGGGTTGGAGTTTATATTTAATTGGCATCCTATATGTTTATTTTTATCAATTTATTTATTTTGAAGTGAAGTTTCACTTTGTTGCCCAGGCTGGAGTGCAGTGGCGCAATCTTGGCTCACTGCAAACTCCTCCTTCTGGGTTTAAGTGATTCTCCTACCTCAGCCTCCCAAGTAGCTGAGGCTACAGGTGTCCACCATCACACCCGGCTAAATTTTGTATTTTTAGTAAAGATGGGTTTCGCCATGCTGGCCAAGCTGATCTCGAATCTCTGACATCAGGTGATCTGCCCACCTCAGCCTTCCAAAGTGCTAGGATTACAGATGTGAGCCAGCTATATTTTTATTTGCTAAATAAAATATAACATGCCTGGCTATACTTTTATTTGTAAAAATAAAACTGTGTGTGTGTGTGTGTGTGTGTGAGTGTGTGTCTATGTATGTGTGTAGGTCCTGGATAGTCACAGTTTAAGCATCAAGAGGGCTTGAGGTTAGACTAAAGGTATACCAGGTATAATTGTCTCAAATATTGTTTCTCCGAAATACAACTTTAACTGGGCATCTTATATTTTATCTGGTAACTCTACTCAAGCCCATCCTAGGAAGAAAGGACCCCAGGAGTCCCCTTTCTTCCCCACCCCCACTATCTCCACTGACCCAGAGATCCAGAGACCCCCTCCCCCAGGCTCTGTGCAGACTCACATGCTTCACAGCTCTGACCCAAACTCCTGCCTCGGTGGCCCCTCTAGCTGCCTCTCTTCTCTCTTCTGCCTCTTTTCTGCCTCTTCAGCCTCTGCTTCTTCAGCGTTGTTGGCACCCTCTATCCCCACCAGCTCATCCAGACAGCCCTCTGCAAACACCTGCCTAGCCAGCCCCTCCCAGCACCCAAATCTGGGGCAACAGTCCCCTACTGGTTCCCGTCAGCCTCTGGGGAGCCCTGAGTCTAGGTTTCCAGCTCCCTCCCCATCTGCTCCTTCTTCATCATCCCTGTTCCCCAGAATCCTGGCCCTGGCCCTTGCCTCACACCATCTGCTTCTTGGGCAGCCCCATCAACTCTAGTGCTGAATGCCCAGGGGCTGGTGTTTCCTCTTCTCTTTCTCCAGTTAGACCCCTCTCCCGAGCCCAGGCCTAACTGTGCGCTTGCCTGCTGGATGCCCTGGGCCTCAGAGATCTCAGGTTGACCCTGTTGCTCTTCTCTTTGCTTAGAAGCCTTCGAAGGCTCCTCAGGCCCTCAGTTAAAGTCTGAACTCCTTGGCCTGGCAGACAAAGCCCTTCATGGTCTATCCCTGCCCACTTCCGCAGCCCTCTGCAGGCCATTCACAGTTCCCAGGTTTTCTCACAGTCCCATCAGGTTTCACATGCCATGGTGCCGTTCCTCCCCCTGCTCCTTTTGGAAAACTCACTTCCTATGTCACCTCTTCCAGAAGACCCTTGTCCCCTCTTCAGCTTGGGCTAGCTCTGCCTGTATTTCTTCCAGCTTCTCTGGTGTGTCCTAAGTCACCTGCTGCTTACCTGTCTGCTGTGAGACAGATGGGACTGTGTCTTCTCCACCTCTCGTCCCCAGGGTGGGACTGATCTCCGACCCCGATGTGGATTCCAATTCCCTCCCTTACCAACCTGACACCAGCCCAATCCAACTCCGCCCAAGTGCTGGCCTCATTCAAGACTTCAGCTCCACTTCTAACATTACCTCATCCCTGGCCCTGGGAGCACACATGGGAAAGGAATAAAGGCAGGGCTCCCCCATTTCCTGGCGTGCATCCCTCCCTTCCTGAGGAAGAGATGCTGAGTCCCAAGCCCACTTAGAATCTGCAGAGGGAGGCTGGGTGCAGTGACTCACGCCTGTAATCCCTGCACTTTGGGAGGCTGAGATGAGTGGATTACCTGAGGTCAGGAGGTGGAGACAAGCCTGACCAACATGGTGATACCCCGTCTGTACTAAAAATACAAAAGAATTAGCTGGGCTTGTTGGTGCATGCTTGTAATCCCAGCTACTCGGGAGGCTGAGGCAGGAGAATCACTTGAACCTGAGAGGCGGAGGTTGCCATGAACCAAGACTGAGCCACTGCACTCCAGCCTGGGCAACAGAGCAAGACTCTGTCTCAAAAAAAAAAAATTAAAAGCAAGAAAAAGAATCTGCAGAGGGTAGTTAGTGCCTTATGGAGGGCTTCTGACTAGGAAGGCCTGCAGCTGCAGGTGGCCCCTTCCTCTCCCTGCAGAAAAAGCTGGAAGGGGTGGGAGGGTGTGTGTGGGGTGGGGACTGGGGCTATGCAGGTTCCCGACCTGGCTCAGTCTTTGGCACCCTCTACAGGACAGTTCCAATCCCAGACCTGGGCTTTGGACAACTAAATCCTCTGCCCTCTCCCACCAATGGAGCCGGGCCCCAGAAGTTCCTAGGACTTACCCACCGTCCAGCATGCTACGTAGCAAGTGTCCTTAGAGTCTGCAGACCCAAAACCCCTCCCTTGTGTGTCAGCACTGGGTCACCTGCTGAAAGTCCAAACTGCCTGCCTATTGTTTGAGGCCCAGTCAGGTCTTTGCCCCAAAAGTCCTCTTGGACTGCCGCTGGTCCCCAGGCTATCTCCTGAGCCCACCTCGGTCCCGGAGCTCCCAGGCTGCTGAGGCCGAGCCCCACACCCTGGACCAGCTCTGGCTCCTTCACCGGGGCCTTGGTGGCCTTTCCTAAGGGAGGGGTTTTCCCGAGGACAGGGTCTAGGTTCCCCCCACCTCCCGCTCCTCAGACTACAGGCCCTCAGAGGACTTGGCCTGGGCTTCTACCTCTTTTCTGAGACTAGTGTTTCTCTGCTGGTGTGTCCTCCTTCCTCTCAAACCAGGGGCCCCTGAGAACTGGGCCTGAGTCTCCCTTTCCCCCTTCAGAATGGGGGCTCCCTGAGAACTGGCCCAGGGCCCCTTCCCTCCCCTCCCCTTGGCTGTTGATCTCCAACACTTCTACCTGCAGTCCCATTCTACGAAGCTCTCCCCATCGCTGGGGACTCAGAGGCCTCTGCAGTCTCCCCGACGGTGGGGGTCCTGGAGGGCTTCCTCAGGCTTCAGTCCCAGAGTCAGGCTGCCAGACGTCGATCACCACCTGCAGAGGTCTGTCCTGTGGACGCTGACTCAACGACTGAGGAATGAATCACTCTCACACCTGGTTCAGTGAGTCAAGTGGGCTAGGGATGATTGTCGCTGCTTTCAGAGGGTAAGATGCAGCCAATTGGCCAAGACTCCCTGCACATCCACATCTTTATTCAGTAAAAGATTTCATAACAGAGCTTCTACCAACACACTGGTGGATAATTAGCATGGCTAAAAGAGTGGTTTTATGAATGATAAAAGCTTTAGGTTCTGGGCCCAGAGCAAACACTATGAACGGGTAATTCCCCTTTGATCTCCCCCTGAGAGGGTTATCCAGCACAAAGTTTACATGAGTACAGAGTTACAGTAGAGACAAAGGGATGTGGGCTAAACAGACTTAAAGGAAAGCCTCTTATCGTCCCTATCTCTTCCCTAAGGTAATGGACTGGCTGCCTTCAACCTGTCCCAATAAAATCTTTTGACCTTCCAAAAGGTTTGAGACTTAATCTGTAGCTTTCCCTAATATTTTGCCAGCCACCCCGAGTGAATCTCCACGAGGCTGCACATCGGCTTGGAGGACAGTCCTTAAGTCCCAGAGTGCCCACTTGGAGCTCCACCTCTGACCTCACAAAGGCTGCTTCAGAACTCAGTTTCCATGGCACCGCTGGCAGGAAGAGGGATGCTATTTTGGGCAGTGTATCTGGACTTGTCTCAAGCGGCACCAGCCAAACCCCTGCCTTACTGACCTCTCCCCTGGAGGAGCAGGAGCAGCGCTCGAGGCCGCCCTGGGAGGGCTGAGAGGCGGGCTCTGGACTGGGGACACAGGGACAGCCAAGCCCCAGCTGAGGGTGGAAGCTGAGCCAGGGACGGTCATGGAGGAACAAGATCAGACGCACTTTAACTAAGAAGCCCCCAAGGCAGAGGCTGAGAATCAGAAGATATTTCAGCAGAGTGAGTGGGGCTCCAGGCAGGGTGGGGTTGGGCCAGCCTTCTCAGTATCCAGACCTGGAAGGGACACTCCCTTGGTACCATACAGGGAGGAGGGGACTGTGGGACTGTCAGGGGAAGGAACCCCCGCTGGGAGTGAAAGGCCTGGCATTCTTGTTCTGTTGCAGTCCTGTGTTGCTGTGTGACACAAGCACACAGACCCTTTCTCTTGGCCTCAGTTTCCTTACCTGTAATTTGGCTGTTGGGAGGACCAGCAGTGGGGCAGAGATGGCAGGTATGTGCTGCGTTAGGCTGTCAGCAGAGTATGGGGTGGGGTGAGGAGAGAGCTGAAGACCATTGGCACTGGACCACAGCGGGAGGGGTGCAGGCCAGAGATGGGTCAGCTGCCGGCTTGCTAGAGTCATTCCTTCCACGAAGTCCCCTCCTGTGGGGCTGGAGGATTTCTGCAGTCGGGGCTGGGGATGTGAGTTCATGCTGCAGCTAGAGGGAACTGGGCTAGAGAATGAGGACAGATAGTGTGAGGGGATTTGGGGCTACCTTCCTGCTGTCAGAGAGAAAGATAGGAGCACAAAGGGAAATTTTTTCTTTTGAGGCAGAATTTCACTCTTGTTGGCCAGGCTGGAGTGCAATGGTATGATCCCGGCTCACTACAACCTCCGACTCCCAGGTTTAAGCGATTCTCCTGCTTCAGCCTCTGGAGTAGCTGGGATTGCAGGAGTGTGCCAGCATGCCTGGCTAAGTTTTTGTAGAGACAGGATTTCTCCATGTTGGTCAGGCTGGTCTCGAACTCTTGACCTCAGGTGATCCGCCTGCCTCAGCCTCCCAAAGTGCCGTGATTACAGGGGTGAGCCACTGTGCCCAGCATACAAATAGGAATTTTTAGGTGAGGTGCACAGGTGAAACGAGTTTTCAGGGCCTAATCCTGTGTGTTCATCGTGTGTGTGTGTGTGTGTGTGTGTGTGTGTGTGTGTGTGCGCGCAGGTCCTGGACAGTCACACTTTAGCAGCAAGAGGGCTTGAGGTTAGACTAAATGTATAGCATGCAAATATGAGAGGCTGGAGCCACTAAGCAGAGGCTGAGGGTGTCACCACAGTCCAAAGCCAGGTTGCAGACAGGGAAGATGAGGAAGACTGCTGGAGGGTCTGGCCTGGGGTTGGTCCTGTGGCCAGCATGGGTGACTGGGGGTCCAGGGCATCTCCTCATTGGCTGAGCACTGCTCCTCCCTTTCTGCTGCTAGGCTGGGTTAAGGGAGTGGCACTGGCAGGAGCTGCCCCGAGGCTTCTCCCCTGTGGGCTGAGGTCTGATGAAAGTGTAGGGTCACGTACTGTGTCTTCAGCCCTAGTGACCTTTCTCTGGCTTCACAGCATCTACAAATCTGCCAGACAAAACATGATTCACGCATCCAAGCACAGGCGGTAAGTACATCACCCTGTTCCCCAACTCCAGCCCCCTGTCCTCCACCTAGCACACCTCAGTGTCCTCCTTGCCCCTCCTCAGCCTCTCCCTTGAGGCAGCTGTTCCCCCTCGACCTCCTCCTCCCCACCCACCCACTAGCCTATGCGGTTCCAGAAGAAGAACGTCTTCCACCGTCTCTCACATCCCTGTGGTGCAGCCAAGCCTGGGCTGGGTCCTGAGGTGAGGGGAGGCTCAGAAAGACTTGGATGAGGGTCAAGGCATGCAGGTGGCCTTCAGCTGAACTGAACTCAGCACCTCTCACCCTCTCAGGCTCAGCTATCTTTGGGGTGAACAAGAACCAGTCCTTGCAATGGCCAAGGCCCTGCCTATCTAGTCGTTGTTACCTCTCTGGCCTCCCCATTCTAGGCCCTGCTCTCCTTCCTTCAGCCACACTGAGTTTCTTTTCTTTCTTCTTTTTTTTGTTTTTTTGAGATTAAATCTTGCTCCATTGCCCAGGCTGGAGTGCAGTGGCTCGATCTTGGCCCACTGCAATCTCCACCTCTCGGGTTCAAGCAGCCTCCCAAGTAGCTGGGACTACAGGCACCTGCCACCACACCCAGCTAATTTTTGTTTTTTTAGTAGAGACAGGGTTTCACCTTGTTGGTCAGACTGGTCACGAACTCCTGACCTCAGGTGATCCACCCACCTCAGCCTCCCAAAGTGCTGGGATTACGGGTGTGAGCCACCTCGCACTACCTTTTTTTTTTTTTTTTTTGAGACAGAGTTTTGCTCTTGTTTCCCAGGCTGGAGTGTAATGGCGCAATCTCGGCTCACCGCAACCTCTGCCTCCTGGGTTCAGGCAATTCTCCTGCCTCAGCCTCCCGAGTAGCTGGGATTACAGGCACACGCCACCATGTCCAGCTAATTTTTTTTTTTTGTATTTTTAGTAGAGATGAGGTTTCGCCATATTGGCCAGGCTGTTCTTGAGTGATCAGGTGATCCACTTGCCTCAGCCTCCCAAAGGGCTGGGATTACAGGCCCGAGCCACCACATCTGGCTACCTTCCACCATTCTTTCTACCACTACCCTACTCGCCCATAGCCACGTTAGGCCACCACCTGCCCATTTTCAAAACACCCTTCAGTTCCCACCTCCCATGCCTCCCCTGAGGTCCCCCAGTCCCAAGCTTCTTCTCTCTAGTGGTGTTGCCATTACCCATCTCTTCCATTAAATGGAGTGACCTAAGGGTGGAGAGTGGGTTTTAACTTTGTATTCCTGGTACTTAACTCATAAGTAGATGCTCAACACTTTTTTTTTTTTTTGAGACAGAGTCTTCCTCTGTTGCCCAGACTGGAGTGCAGGTGGTGTGATCTCGGTTCACTGCAACTTCTGCTTTCTGAGTTTAAGCAATTCTCATGTCTCAGCCCCTCTAGCTGGGATTGTAGGTGCCTGCCACCATGCTGGCTAATTTTATTTTTAGTAGAAATGGGGTTTCGCCTTGTTGGCCAGGCTGGTCTTGATCCACTTGCCTTGGCCTCCCAAAGTGGTGGGATTACAGGTGTGAGCCACCATGCCTGGCCAACAAATGTTTGTTGAATGAAGAGATGTTGGTTAGCAGGTTAAATTGTTGGCTTGTGGTTAGATAGTTGATAGTTGACCGATTGATTAGATAATTAAATGGGTTAATAGCTGGTTAACAGGAGAATCAGTTAGTTAAGTTGATAGATTAGTCATAGGGTTAGTAAGCCACCAGGCGTGGTGGTTCACACCTATAATCCCAGCACTTTGGGAGGCTGAGGCAGGAGGATTGCTTGAGTCCAGGAGTTTGGGACCAGCCAGGGCATCATGGCAAAACCCCATGTCTACAAAAAATAGAAAAAAATAGCCAGGAATGGTGGCATGCTCCTGTAGTCCCAGCTACTTGGGAAGCTGAGGTGGGAGGATCCCTTGAATCTGAAGCTGAGGTGGGAGGATCGCCCGGGAAGTCTAGGCTGCAGTGAGTTGTGACTGTGCCACGGCGTTCCAGCCTGGGCGACACTCAAAAAAAGAGAGAGAAGGAGGCCGGGACTGGTGGCTCATGCCTGTAATCCCAGCACTTTGGGAGGCCGAGGCGGATGGATCACAAGGTCAAGAGATCAAGACCATCCTGGTCAACAGGGTGAAAACCAGTCTCTACTAAAAATACAAAAAATTAGCTGGGCATGGTGGCGCGTGCCTGTAATCCCAGCTACTCAGGAGGCTGAGGCAGAATTGCCTGAACCCAGGAGGCAGAGGTTGTGGTGAGCCGAGATTGCGCTATTGCACTCCAGCCTGGGTAACAAGAGCGAAACTCCGTCTCAAAACAAAACAAAAAAAAAAAAAGAGAGAGAGAGAGAGAAGGAAAGAAAATAACAAGCGTTAGAGAGTTGTGAGCATTTAGTTCCTGGTTAGCAGCTTACTTAGGCTCTGGTTGGCTGCGAGTTCCTTGCTTTGTGGGCCGGCTTTCTTGGGCTCCTCTTCTTAGTCTGTGCCTTTTCTTTGAGCTCTCTCATCTTGCCCATGGCTCAGATGACCATCTGTGATTTGCTGACCTCCAAATGTTTCTCTAAGTGAGACCACACGACCAGCTGCCTCCTCACTGGCCATCCCCCCCAGGTTTCTTGTGGGCTCCTCACCCTCAACATGCCCAGAAGGAGCCTCCTCGTTCATTCGCCTGAAGCTGGTTCCCATGCTTGTCATTCTGCTGCCCTACCAGGACCTGAGGGCATCGCTGAGCCACCCCACTCCCTTCCCTCTCTAACCGAATGCCAAGCCTGTCAGCTTGACTGTGCTCTTGTGGCCATTGGCACTGCCATCTCCATGGCTCAGGCTGCCACCCCCTCTCCATCCATCTGTGGAGAAGCTGATGCTCACCCTGCCTCCACTCCACTTCCTTCATCCTGGCCTCCACAGGGGAGGTAGCTCTCCTGCTGAAATCCTCCACTTGGCCCACGGCCTGCTGGTAGACTTCAGACTTCCTAATATGGGCAGGAGGCCTTCTGCCATCTGGCCCTGGCCCCTCTCTGCCCATCTCATGCCACCTCCACTCCTCTGAGGCCAGCCCATTCCTGTACATTGAATATTACCTTGACTGCAGGCCTTTCATATGCCATTCCTATGCCCAGAATGATCCCCGCCTCCCCGGAGGCCCCTTTACCTGGCCAGCCTTCTTTTCTTGACCTAAATTTCCCTTTCTCTAGGAGAGCCTCCTACCTCGCCCCAGGCCATTCACTTCCTCCACATGCCCCATGGTGCCCATTCTTTCAACTGTGGCAATGCTCATCACACTGCATAGTAATTGCTTAATTAATTGCTTTTCTCCCCAAGGGCTGGGATCCTACCAATGTCCTTTACTGCACTGCCTGAACATTTTTGCATAACAGATTTAAGACATCTTGGGTTCATTAGGTTGGTCAGTGGTTATCTGTTGCTACTGTGCCTTGCCTGCTGGGTGGTGATGAGGAAGGAGCCAGGCTTCCAGGATTCTCTTGATGTTGTTGGCTTTCTGCTCTGTCCACTTCTTTCCCCTCTTCTGTGGTTACCTCCAGCATGGGAGCTGGAGCTGGGTGGGGGCCCATGGATGGTCACCTCACCCTGCTAGGGAGATCAGCAGCTCTCCTTGGGGCTCCTAAATCCTCCTGGCCTCATAGCAGCAAAAAGTAAGCAGAGGAAGTGAGAGATGTTCAGGCATGGAATGAAACATCTTCCACTTCTCAGCTGAGATCCTCTGTTTATAGCTCACCCATTTCAGTCCTTGCCCTATTCCTTACCCCAGAGAAACAAACCCAGGGATGAGTAGATGGAGGGGAATGCAGAGTTGCATGGATAATCCACTGGGCCCCCTCCAACTCCAGCTCCCATGCAGCATCATACAGGGGGGTCTCCTTACTCCATGACCAGCCCCCTCAGCCCCGAAAAAGAGACCCTGCCAATGCAAGCAGCAGCCCAAAGACAGTCCTGGAAAGGTGCCATAGAAGTAGGGGAGAGGTGGACAGAGCAGGAAGCCAAGAACACCAAGAGAATCCTGGAAGCCTGGCTCCTTCCTTGTCGACACACAACAGACAACAACCAGCAATGAACCAAAGATGTATTGAATCTACCATGACTACTATGTTCAGGCAATGCAGTGAGGAAACTGGTTTGGGAAGAAAAGCAGTTAATAAATTAAGCCTTTTTTTTTTTTTTTTTTTTTTGGAGACAGGGTCTCACTCTGTCACCCAGGCTGGAGTACAGTGGTATGATCTCAGCTCACTGCAAACTCCACCTTCTGGGCTCAAGCAATCTTCTCACCTCAGCCTCCCCAGTAGCTGGAAACAAGCATGCACCACCACGCCTGACTCATTTTTTAATTTTTTTATAGAGATGAGGTTTTGTCGTTTTGCCCAGGCTGGTCTTGAACTCCTCGTCTCAAGCGATCAGCCTGCCTCAGCCTCCCTAAATGCCGGGGTAACAGGCGTGAGCCACTGTGCCTGGCCTACTTAAGCAATTACTGTGCAGTGTGATGAGCACTGCCACAGCTGAAAGAGTGGGCACCATGGGCATGTGGAGGAAGTGAATGGTCCAGAGGAGTGGGTAGGAGGCAGGAGGCTCTCCCAGAGGAAGGGAAATTTAGGTCAAGAAAAGAAGGCTGGCAGGGTAAAGGAGCCTCCCGGAGGCTGGGCATAGGAATGGCATGTGCAAAGGCCTGCAGCCAAGGCAGTAAATGATGTGCAAGGATGGGCTGGCCAGAGGAGTTGAGGGGCTGGTGTTGGCTTCCGGGCATCCAGATAGTGAGATAGCAGAGTGACTAGTCTAAACAAGCACTAAGGCCACACCTAGAGGTATCTGTCCCTGTTCTTCCTTTTTTTTGAGATGGAGTTTAGCTTTTGTTGCCCAGCCTGGAGTGCAATGGTGAGATCTTGGCTCACCACAACCTCCACATCACAGGTTCAACTGATTCTCCTGTCTCAGCCTCCAAAATAGCTGGGATTACAGGCATGCACCACCATGCTGGCTAATTTTGTATTTTTCAGTAGAGACGAGGTTTCATTATGTTGGTCAGGCTGGTCTGGAACTCCCAACCTCAGGTGATCCACCCGTCTCAGTTTCCCAATGTGCTGGGATTACAGGCATGAGCCACCATGCCTGGCCCCATTTCTTTCTCTTTATTTTCCAGCCCCACACCCCACCTTCCTCAAACTCTAGTCCTATACCTCCCCTTATACAAAGATTTGGGACCTATTACTGTTTCATCTACCTGTCCATCTAACCATCCACTTGTTAACTAAATATATATCAAGTGCCAGGCACTTTGGGAAGCTCTGAAGATCTAGTTGAGAGTAAGGCAGATTCCCCAGTTCTCACGCATTCAACAAATATTTATTGCACATCTACTGTGTACCTGGCATTGTGCTAGGCACTGAAGATACACCAGGAAGTGAGATCCAGTCCTTCCTTTTCTCCCTCCTTCCCTCCTGTTCATTCATTCATTCATTCATTTATTCATTCACTCGCTCTCTCACACACCTCTGATTGCATTGACCTGGTTGCAGAGCCTGGTGCATTTTGCTGACACCTTCGTCTTTGACAGAACCCGGAGCATGTTTCAGTGCTCAGTGCTGTTTATAAAGCTCAGCAGCAGACTTTTCCATACCTCATGCTGTTTGTAGAGTGCCTCACTGTTGCCCTCACCTGGCCTGTGACCCAAAAGCCCTGGCTCCAGCAGATAGGCAAGCAGACAGACGGACAGACTGACGGACATAGACAACTGAGGTCTACTTCCAAGCTTGCTGTCTCCCACCCTGCTTTTTCTCAGAGGCTTGTTGGCACCACGGATTGCACTTTCAGCCCCCCACGGGCCCCTCTGCAAAGTGGCCTCACTGGTGTGCCATTTTTACTGGCCCAGGTCCAGCTAGAAGGAAGAAGGGGTATGGCCTGGCCATCTACCCCAGTTCCTCTCCATGTCCCCATGGCTCTCAAGGTCTCTGATTCCAGTTGTCCCGGCTGCCCTGGGCAAGAGGAGGTATGTGTGCAAGGCTGCTGGGTTACCTATTAACTCAGCTGTGAGCTGAAGAGCCGATGGGCAGCAGGCAGACACTGGAGTCTTCTTTCTGTCCGTGGGCTCGGGCTGCTTTCTCAGGTCCACCCGCAGCTCCAAAATGGTTTCCTGGTCCGGGATAACAAGGATACAGCAAATACTGCAGAAGAAGTTGGTGCGAGAGTTCCTGGCCGAGTTCATGAGCACGTATGTCATGATGGTGAGTGGGTGGGCAGTGTGAAGTGGGTGGGGCTTGGCCAGGGCCATCCATGGCCCCCTCCCCATGCTGACCCAGTCACATTGTGTATTCCTTGCCTCTGAGCTGGGAGCCTGGGGAAGCAGCAAAGGAAAGTAAGGAGGAGGCCTTTCTCATCAAGTCTTTTTGGACAGAAAGGGATCATAATATGTGGGGGTCAAATGAAACCATGTGCTGGGGTATCTGGGGCACGGCTGGAAGTAGGGAGAAGGGAAACCCAGGGTAAAGAGATTGAAGAGGGCCGGATGTGGTGGCTCACACCTGTAATCTCAGCACTTTGGGAGGCTAAGGTGAGCGGATCACCTGAGGTTGGGAGTTCCTAGCCAACATGGTGAAACCCCGTCTCTACTAAAAATACAAAAATTAGCTGGGCATGGTGTCACACACCTGTAATCCCAACTACTTGGGAGACTGAGGCAGGAGAATCTCTTGAACCTGAGAGGCAGAGGTTGCAGTGAGCAGAGATCGTGCCACTGCACTCCAGCCTGGGCGACAGGAGTGAAACTCCATCTCAATAAAAAAAAGAGAGAGAGATTGAAGACCTTGACTGTCAGGCTCTGAAAATGAATCCAGAGGGCAATGGGGTGATGCTGAAGGCTGGCAAGCAGGGGAGTAGTGACATGATCAGATTTGGATGTTAATGGTAATTTTGGGTGCAGTGTGGAGCATAAGCAGGACAGGCAAGGCTGGCGAGAGGGAACCAGTTAAGAGGCTGTTGTTGATCTGGGACAGAAAGAGGGTAGGCGGGGCGCAGTGGCTCACGCCTGTAATCCCAGCACTTTGGGAGGCCGAGGAGGGTGGATCACCAGGTCAAGAGATCGAGACCATCCTGGTCAACATGGTGAAACCCCGTCTCTACTAAAAATACAAAAAATTAGCTGGGCATGGTGGTGCGTGCCTGTAATCCCAGCTACTCAGGAGGCTGAGGCAGGAGAATTGCCTGAACCCAGGAGGCGGAGGTTTCGGTGAGCCGAGATCGCGCCATTGCACTCCAGCCTGGGCAACAAAAGCAAAACTCAGTCTCAAAAAAAAAAAAAAAAAAAGAAAGAAAAAAGAAAGAGGGTGGTGGCTGGTCTGGGGTTGGAGAAGAAAGTGTGTGTTTGAGGGCTGTGGAAGATGGAATCGAGACTCTGCCAGCGGAAGATGTGGGCAAAGCGCCGATGAGCTGTTGTTCTGGAGCACCGGGCCAGCCCAGGGCGAGAGGTGAGGCTGGTTTGGATGTGAGCAGGCAAGATGCCCATGGCTTGAGATGCTCGTGGAGAAATCCAGGAGATAGCTGAACACAGGCAGGGGCTGGAGCTCAGGAGAAGCTTGGTCTGGAAGGAAAGAGTTGAAATTCATCAGAACACAGGTGGTGGTTGTCAACATTCTCCAGAGAGAGTGCACAGAAAGAGAAAAAGATGGTTTGAGGACAGAGCCCTGAGGAATGAAGAGGTGCGCGCAAAGGAGCCTGAGAAGAAACAGTCAGAGGGGTGGGAGGAGAACCAGAAGGGACTGCGTGATAAAGGGGGTAGTGGTTCCACCAGAAAGAAGCCGTCAGTGGTGTGGGCAGCTGCAGATGGTCCATGCAAGGTGAGCACTAGCAAGAGGCCCCAGGGTTTGGCAACGTGGAGGTTGCTGGTAACCTTGACAAGGGCTTTTTTTTGTTTTTTGAGACGGAGTTTTGCTCTTGTTGCCCAGGCTGGAGTGCAATGGAATGATCTTCGCTCACTGCAACCTCCGCCTCCCAGGTTCAAGCAATTCTGCCTCAGCCTCCTGAGTAGCTGGGACTACAGGCATGTGCCACTGTGCTCAGCTAATTTTTGTATTTTTAGTAGATATGGGGTTTCATCATTTTGGCCAGGCTGGTCTCAAACTCCTGAACTCAGGTCACCTGCCCACATCGGCCTCCCAAAGTGCTAGGATTACTGGCATGAGACACCGCACCTGGCCCACAACTCTAGCTCCCTTATTGGTCAACAGGAACACTAACATAAAGCTGGAGGACTTGTGTGAAGAAGGTCAAGTGCCAGCACAAGTATACATGTGGTACACAGATGTTGATCCCTCGTTATTAGGACAGGTGCTCTCAGCTGCTCTCTCCTCTCTGTATCTGGCCCTCCCCTGCTCCTCTCTTACCTCCCCACCTGCTTTGGCTCCTGAGCTGTGAGGACAGCAGTTGGATCCTGTCCCTCCTTAATCCAGGGCAAAGTAATTCACTTACGACAAGACATTCCAGCCCCATGAGGGCTGTTAAACCTTGGATCCTGGGAGGCAGGAGGGTGTGTTCTTCCAGAGCTGTTAGGAAAAGCAGGCACCACCCACATCCTTGATACCTGCCCACATCTATGTTTCTCTTCCTTTTATTGAGTTTTTTTTTTTTTTTTTGAGACGGAATTTCACTCTTGTTACCCAGGCTGGAGTGCAATGGTGTGATCTCGGCTCACCGCACCTTCCATCTCCTGGGTTCAAGCAATTCTCCTGCCTCAGCCTCCCGAGTAGCTGGCACTACAGGCGTGCACCACCATGCCCAGCTAATTTTTGAATTTTTAGTAGAGACGGGGTTTCACCATGTTTACCAGATGGTCTCAATCTCTTGACCTCATGATCCACCCGTCTCGGCCTCCCAAAGTGCTGGGATTATAGGCGTGAGCCACTGCGCCTGGCCTTTATTGAGATTTTTATTGAGCACCTAATGCATCCTGGGCACTGTGATGCTAAGCCCCTTACATGTTGCATCTTCCCAAATCCTGTGAAGTAGGTACTATCATCCCAGTTTCACAGATGGGAAAACTGAGTCTCCATGAGACTAAGCCTCTTGCCCAAGGTCACACTTTAAGTCAAGATTAAATCCAGTCCAGTCTAATATTATAGTCTTTTTTTTGAGTTGGAGTCTCGCTCTGTCACCCAGGCTGGAGTGCAGTGGTGTAATCTCGGGTCACTGCAACCTCCACCTCCTGGGTTTAAGCGATTCTTGTGCCTCAGCCTCCAGAGTAGCTGGAATTACAGTTGCATGCCACCATGCCCAGCCATTTTTTTTTTTTTTTTTTTTGAGACGCAGTCTTGCTCTGTTGCCCAGGCTGGAGTGCAATGGCACAATCTCAGCTCACTGTAACCTCTGCCTTCCACGTTCAAGCAATTCTCCTGCCTCAGCCTCCTAGGTAGCTGGGATTATAGGCACCCACCACCATGCCCGGCTAAGTTTTTACTTTTACTAGAGGCAGGGTTTCACCATGTTTGCCAGTCAGGTCTTGAACTCCTAACCTCAGGTAATCTGCCCTCCTTGGCCTCCCAAAGTGCTGGGATTATTGGCGTGAGCCATCACGCCTAGCCCAATTTTTATATTTTTAGGAGAGACGAGATTTTATCACGTTGCCAAGGCTGGTCTTGAAGTCCTGACCTCAAGTGATCCTCCCACCTCAGCTTTGCAAAGTGTTGAGATTACAGCATGAGTCACTGTACCTGGCCTAATATCACATTCTTGACCCTTAACCTCTATGCTCTGTCCTTTAGCTTAAATATAGCTGGCTTTTAAAGACTCTGGCTTGCCGGGCGCGGTGGCTCACGCCTGTAATCCCAGCACTTTGGAAGGCCGAGGTGGGTGGATCACAAGGTCAAGAAACCATCCTGGTCAACATGGTGAAACCCCGTCTCTACTAGAAATAGGAAAAATTAGCTAGGAATGGTGGCGTGCGCCTGTAGTCCCAGCTACTCGGGAGGTTGAGGCAAGAGAAATGCTTGAACCCAGGAGGCAGAGGTTGCGGTGAGCCGAGATTGCGCCATTGCACTCCAGCCTGGGTAACAAGAGCAAAACTCCGTCTCAAAAAAATAAAAATAAAGACTCTGGCTTGTTAATGCTCCCCCAGATGGGGGTAAGGTAATCACTTTCAGGTAGTTCAATACTCCTCTCTGGGCCTCAGTTTCCCCATCTATAGAGTGGGAGAAAAATTCTTACTGTGCAGATTTGCTGTGAGGATTGAAGACAATAACACTTGTAAAATAACTTTGTGAGGTGTAAGCCTATATGGGACATTGTATTGTCGTTATTTTTAGTTGCCAAGCTGTGCCAAGAAGTGGGGGCTTTAATAGGAATCTCTGTGAGTCACCAGGGTGAAGGTTTTGCCAGAAAAGCTAGTGTGACGTTGGCCCCCATTTATTGCAGCCAGGATGAGGGAAGTGGACAGATTCACATTGCAGCTTCCAAGGGCGTTGCCCTTGAAGCTGGCCTCCTGGCTGTTGGGGAGACTTGGATGGGCCATAATCACTGACCAGGGAGAGGTGGGGCTGGAACCATCCGGGCCCTGAAAACCTGCCATACATGTGAGCCAGGGGGCAAGGGTTGCAGATCACATGCTACGGGGCCAAGAGAGCCACAACTCAGGGTGGGAGGGACTTTGGCTGGCTGCAGAGTGCCAATCTGTGCAAGGCTGGAGCTGCCGCCATGCCAGCTGACTGTTGCCATGGAGGGCGGAATGCAGGCCATGTTGCCTGAGCTTCTTATTTTCAAGACAGATAGAAACTCCTGTTCTGCAAAACCAAGTGATCCAAACAAAACCTGCGTGCTGATGAATTATGGCATGGGATGCCAGTTGGCAACCCTGACACAGGAAATCATGTGGGGTTCACTCGCTCATCCAGTGTTTTTTTGTTTTTTTTTTTTGAGACAGAGTCTCACTCTGTCACCCAGGCAGGAGGTGGAGGTTGCAGTGAGCCGAGATCACACCACTGCACCCCAGCTTAAGTGACAGAATGAGACTCTGTCTCAAAAAAAAAAAAAATTTAGCTGGGTGCCATAGTACATGACCATAGTCCCAACTACTAGGGAGGCTGAAGTGAGAGGATCACTTCTGCCCAGGAGATGGAGGCTGTGATGAGCCCTGATCATGGCACTGCACTCCATCCAGCCTAGGTAATAGAGCGAAACCTTGTCTCAAAAATCAAACAAATAAAACAGAAGCACTAGAAAGCAAGGCGTGCCTGGAGCAGTGCAGTTGTTTGGTTTGAGGCCATCTGGCATAGGTAAGTGCCTGGATTTAATCCTGGCTCACCAGGTACAGGCTGTGTGACTTTGGACAAGCCATTGAAGTTCTCTAAGCTTCAGGTTACTGTCTGTCAAGTGGGGGAGAATAAAATAGCACCTAACTCATAAGATAGGTGTCAGAGTTAAAGGAGATGGTCAGTATAACTCACTGGCATGTAGTCAGTGCTCAATAAATGGTTATTATTATGTAGTAGTAAAACTATTGCCTAATACAAAGAATATTGGGGTAGATATGAAACAGGCAGAAAGGATGAAATTATGAAGGGTCTTAGATGGTGGCCTACTGAGTTTGGACTTTATCCTAGAAGTAGAGGGGAGCCAGTGAGTGAGCATGGGGAAGACCTAATAGGGTTTTTGTTAGGAAGGTCACTCTGGCTACAAGGAAGAGGCTGGGTGAGGTTCGGGGAGAATGTGAGCAGAGCTGATGTGGTGTTAGGGAGGTTGGTGAGGAAACTCCCATTTGCAACGCTGGAGTTTCTGGCTCTGCCAATTGGGATGGGGAACATAGAGTGAGGAGCAGGTGTGCTGCGAGATGGCGAATTTTCTTTTTCTTTCTTTCTTTTTTTTTCTTGAGACGGAGTTTCGCTGTTGTTACCCAGACTGGAGTGCAATGGCACGATCTCGGCTCACTGCAACCTCCACCTCCTGGGTTCAAGCAATTCTCCTGCCTCATCCTCCCAAGTAGCTGGGATTACAGGTGCGCACCACCATGCCCAGCTAATTTTTTGTATTTTTAGTAGAGACGGGGTTTCACTATGTTGACCAGGATGGTCTCAATCTCTTGACCTCGTGATCCACCCGCCTCGGCCTCCCAAAGTGCTGGGATTACAGGCGTGAGCCACCGTGCCCGGCACTTTCTTTTTTTTGAGACAGAGGCTCCCTCAGTCACCCAGGCTGGAGTGCAAAGGTGCGATCTCAGCTCACTGCAGCCTCTGCCTCCTGGGTTCAAGTGATTCTTCTGCCTCAGCCTCCTGAGTAGCTGGGATTACAGGTGCCTGCCATCACGGCTGGCTAATTTTGTATTTTTAGTAGAGATGGGGTTTCACCATGTTGGCCAGGCTGATCTTGAACTCCTGACTTCTGGTGATCCAGAGATGGTGAACTTTCAACAGAGCCTGAGATGCCCGTGGAACACCAGGAAAGTTCCAGTGGTGATTTGGAGATAGGAATCTGGCTCCCCAGTGGAGATTACGGGAATTTTGGTCCATCAGACATAGCTGAAGTTGTGGACCTGGCAAGACCATGCTGGAAGAGACCTTTGGAAAATCAGGAGGTTGTGGGGGCCTTTGGAGAGAGCTTCAGTGTCTGTGATATGTGGAAGTGAAAGCCAGATTGAGAAGGGGGCGTGAGGGAAGGGGTGAAGCAGCTGGCCAGTGTGTTCTCTCCTGCAGTCTGACTGAAGCAGGGACAGGGAGACCAGGAGCCCACAGCTGGAGAGGGAGGCTGGGCAGGGGCAGGACGGTTTGCTGGGAAGGATGAGACTCCAGTCTGTGGGAGCCAGTTAGTGGGAGGATGGAAGGTACAGGGGAAATGGAGGCCTCTTCAGAGGGAGAGGATGGCACAGGAGGCAGGGCTGAAGGGGACAGTGGCTCTAGACTGAGGCTAATGGGCCTGAAGTTTGGCTCCTTCCCCCTGTGAAGGCGACATCATCTGAGGAGCTGTGAGGATGGGCAAGAAGCAGCGGCTTGGGAGAGCCACCTGAGGTCTGTGGAAATGAAGCTGAGGGCAGGAGAGATAGGACCCCACTGCTCCAGCCTTGCAGGGGGTGGGATGGAGGGTGTGTGTGTGTGCATGTGTGTGTGCGTACATGTGTGCACATGCAGGAATGGACGGATTTGGAGGTCCCGTGAAGAAACTTCCTTCAGGCAGGCCTTAAGTGTGAGGAACTCTGATGGCGTGCCATCCATGCCAGCCATCCCCTTCTCACAGCCCTGCCTCACCCCCAAACTTCAGGTGGGCCTGGGGCTGAGGTGCTTGGATGTGTGTCTAAGAGCCTCTGACTCTGCTGCTCCACCCAGCTCTCAGGGGCTCAGATCTGAGAGGCCTCAGCGGGGGCAAAGAGAGGAGGTGGTGAGGAGGGAAGGCTCTGGAAAAAGAGGGCATTGCAGAAGGTCTTTGCCGGCAATGGCAGGAAGGCCCAGGGCATGGGGGTGAGGAGCTAGAACTGGGCTCTGAGCCCTCGTCTGAGGTTGGGGCTCTGGGGCAGGCAGCCCCCTTAGTGGCCCTCCCTTGTAGGTGTTTGGCCTTGGTTCCGTGGCCCATATGGTTCTAAGTAAAAAACATGGGAGCTACCTTGCTGTCAACTTGGCTTTTGGCTTCGGTGTCACCATGGGAGTGCATATGGCAGGCAACATCTCTGGTGAGTAATCCCAGGCCCTGCTGGACTGGGCAAGGCCAGCTGTCCCCCACAGGCTCTTTCCTGTCCGCCCCAGCCAGCCCCTTCTCCGGCACAGCCAGTGCCTCTCCATCTGGCCACCAGGAGGGAGGAGGTCTCCTCCCAACCCCTCGTCTAGGATGTGTCTGCCACAGATTCTTCCTGGGCCCCCGTGACCTGTCATTTTCACTGGCTGGGTCATCTTAGGCAAGTCATTGCCTTCTCTGTTCCTCAGTCTCCTTAACAGTGACAGGAAGGCTGTGGCTCTGGCCCCATGGGGTCGTTGTGAGGGTCAATGAGAGAGCTGTCAGGAGCACGCTCTCTGTGCACACCAGCCATTGCTGTTCTCAGTACAGTCGTCATTGTTGTTTGTTTTGCTCTCACTCCCTGACACACTTGGTCCTGCCCTCAGGGGCCCACATGAATGCAGCTGTGACCTTTGCTAACTGCGCGCTGGGCCGCCTGCCCTGGAGGAAGTTTCCGGTCTATGTGCTGGGTCAGTGCCTCGGCTCCTTTCTGGCGGCTGCCACCATCCACACCCTCTTCTACAGTGAGTGCACTGCCTGGGTGCCCGCCTCTGGCCTCAGTTGCCTCCTCTGAAATTAGGGCAGATCGGACCTTAGTGTCCTGGTTTGTAAAAAATAGCTGGGAGAAAAAAGCCTTGGAGCGCCTCCACCCTCTAACCTATAACCTCATTTCTGGGACCCCGTGGGGCTTCACTGGGGGCAGGTTCACATGACAGTTTGTGTCTCCGCAGCGGCCATTCTCCACTTTTCGGGTGGACAGCTGATGGTGACCGGTCCTGTAGCGACAGCTGGCATTTTTGCCACCTACCTTCCTGATTACATGACATTGTGGCGGGGCTTCCTGAATGAGGTCAGTGGTCCAGGATGAGTACCCTCCCCCTGCCCTCCACCCCTCAGGATGGAGCCAGCAGGGAGCTCTTCCTGATAGACAGGACAAGAACTCTGGATGGAGATTGTACAGAGATGTGTCTCTGCTAGTGGGCTTGGACTGGGGCACTGCTGAGGCACTGTGGCTTGGGGAGGGGCCCTGGTGAGCTGCCACAGCATCTGCTCCTCAGGTGTGGCTGACCGGGATGCTCCAGCTGTGTCTCTTTGCCATCACGGACCAGGAGAACAACCCAGCACTGCCGGGAACACAGGCGCTGGTGATAGGCATACTCGTGGTCACCATTGGGATGTCCCTTGGCATGAACACAGGATATGCCATCAACCCATCCCGGGACCTGCCCCCCCGTATCTTCACCTTCATTGCTGGCTGGGGCAAACAGGTCTTCAGGTACGGCCCCTGCCTAGGCCCATTCTTTCAAGTTTTTCTGTGGGTCCCCTGCATGTTGAGGAGGTATGGGGGGGATGTGAGGGGCAGCATAGGAGGGTCCTGCAGAGCCCTGTGGTGGCCTGGGGAGCAGGAGTGAGTCCCAACATTTCCCCAGACCAGTACGGATACAGATCCTGCACCTGCACTGAGTGTCAGCCCTGTCCCTGAATCGAGCTGAGGCCAACCAGGGCCCTGGGCTGAAGTGTCTCGTGGGGTATCCTGGGGATGACTCCTCTGCTTATACTGTCTTGGCCTGAGGTGGATGAGGGTGCTGTCCTGGACATCAGCCCCCCTCAGCAGGCCTCTGCCTCTTGCCTGCAGCGATGGGGAGAACTGGTGGTGGGTGCCAGTGGTGGCACCACCTCTGGGTGCCTATCTAGGTGGCATCATCTATGTGGTCTTCATTGGCTCCACCATCCCACGGGAACCCCCAAAATTGGAGGACCCTGTGACGTATGAAGATCACAGGATAACCGTATCGACCAAGATGGAACCTCATGCATCTGTGGCCTCTCCCCTCACCCCTGTCTCCGTGAGCCCTGACAACAGACCTTCAGTCCGCCTGGCCCCCACCTTACAGGAATCCATGGCCCAAGAACACTTCTAAGTAGAGAGTCTTTGTGATCCCACCCCCACCCCAATAAAGCAAGCCTTATCCCACAGCAGAACCCCACTTCCTGGGGACCTGTGGTTGGGCTCCCCTCCTGGGTTCTTCCAGGAGCTCTAGGGCTATGCTTTAGCCCAAGGTGTAGGGGTGAGGCACCTTGAGTCTTTCACACCCTGGGAACTGGGATGCCCCGGGGAGAGAGCGGGGAAGAGCTGACCTGTGCCCTCAGTAGGAACAGGGTGAGATGAAAGAATGACAGAAACAGAAAGGGATTTTCAGGCATGGGGGAAGGAAGGGCGGTTTTGGGGAAAGAACCATAGCTGGCTGGCTGATGGAGGACCAGCTTTGGAGATACTTTGAGGGGATCCTGAGATTGAACTCGACTCTCCCCTGGTTCTTCCCTTCCCAGAGTTCTGGCCAGTTCTTGGACCAGACAAGGCAAGGCCCAAGAATGTAGATCAGAATTTCTTAGCCTTTTTTTTCCATTAGCGCCTTCCCCAGTAGCCTTTTAGATATTTTTTTTCTTAATCACATGAAATTTTAATACCACAGATATACTATATATCTGTTTATGTACTGTATATGTTCTGTACTTTATACATAAAAAAGAGTAAGATTTTTTTTTCACCTCCCCTTTTAAGAATCAGTTTTAGGCTGGGCTCACGCCTGTAATCCCAGCGCTTTGGGAGGCTGATGCAAGTGGATCACCTTAGGTCAGAAGTTTGAGACCAGCCTGGCCAAGATGGTGAAATCCCATCTCTACTAAAAATACAAAAAATTACCCAGGCATGGTAGTGGGCGTCTGTAATCCCAGCCACTCGGGAGGCTGAGACAAGAGAATTGCTTGAACTGGAGAGGCGGAGGTTGCGGTGAACCGAGACCGAGCCATTGCACTCCAGCCTGGGCCACAGGAGCGAAATTCTGTCTCAAAAAAAAAGAATCAGTTTTAATTCACTTGAGAAGGCATGCTATAGATTGAAGGCTGGTAAGGGGTTGGACTCCTCTTTCTTCTTCCTGGTGCCAGAGTGCTCCTACATGAAGGAATCCCACAGTTGTAAGGAAAATGCAAAGAGGGAAATCCTTCAAACACATGAAGACACAGGAAGAAGCCTCATAGGGAGCAGGTGCAGAGGTCGGGTCGGGGTAGGGGGCCAGGATCCGCTGAGCCTGGGGTCAGGTAAGAATCACTCTGTTGCCTGGGGCTCAGAAGGCAGCATCACTCATGGTTCCTGTCATTGCTATACATTTGCCTTTCAACAATCATTGTGCACCTACTGTGTGCAGGCCCTATCTGGACACTGGGGATGCCCAGTGGATGCACTGGGCTCTGCCTTTGATGGTTGCAGTTTAATGGGGGACAGGTAATTATGAGGAAGAAAGGGAGTGCAGAGTGGGAGGCCTGGAGGCTGTGGGGTTCAGGTTGGGGGAGCTCACATCCAGCCTCTGGGCCAAGGCCAGGAGGCTTTCCAGAGGAGGAGACAGAGCAGGATGTGGTGGGGGGTGTCCTTTCTGGGGCTGAGAGCTGCACTTTACAGTTTGAGGTGATGGGCAGAGGAGACTGGGCTTCCTTCTGGAGGTGGGGGACACGGTGAGGTTTAGAAAGTGCACTTGTTTTGCAATAGCCTTGAAGGAAAAAAGCAAAAAAAATAAAAAGAAAGTGCACTTGAGCTGCAGTGTGTAGGATGCTGGAAATGGTGGAGATGGGCCTGCAAAGAGAGTGGTGGGAAGCAATGACCCAAGAGCAGCAGCTGGGCACCTAATGGGTCAGCACTGTGGGCATGAAGACGAGAGACAGGATTGATCAATACCCAAGAGGTACAATGTGCCAGACTTGGGCTCTGTTTGGATGGAGTGGGTGAGGGAGGGAGAGGGAGGAGTCAGAGATGGCCTCCAGTTTCCAACTTGAGTCTGGGGATTGGAGATGTCCCCACTGAGAGTAGGGCACAAGTGAGGAAATGGTTTGGAGGAAGATGATAGGTTACATCATGGATGTGCTGAGTTTGAGTTGCTGATGGGACTTGGAAGGGGACGTGGGAAAAGGTGTGTGATCTTGAGCAAATATTCAAGCCTTCCGGGCCTTGGCCTTCTTCTCAATTGTAAAATGGCGATAAGAATATTACCTAACATTTGTATTGCTGTGAATATTAAATGCGCTACCACATGTAAAATATTGATTCATTTCTGGCTCAATAAACACAGTTATGCCTTGTATAGTCTGGAGCTCAGAAGTTGAAGACAGGGATTCACGAAGTCATGGCTTTGTGGATGTAGCTAGAGTGTGGAATAATGACAGGAGGGTCAGGGAGCATGGCACAAGGTAGGGTGGTCAAGAGACACTGGACACAACCCAGATGTCCATCCACAGGGGACAGATACATATACTGCTGTGCAACTGCAAATAAAAGAATCCTCTACAATAGCGAAAATTAAGGCTCAACTGACAACTGCAACACACAAAATTCTAGAGGCATAAAAAGTAATACAGTAGCTGGGTGTGGTGGCTCACGCCTGTAATCCCAGCACTTTGGGAAGCTGAGGCGGGTGGATCACCTGCAGTCAGGAGTTCCAGACCAGCCTGGGCAACGTGGTGAAACCCTGTCTCTACTAAAAATATAAAAATTAGCTGGGTGTGGTTCGGTGCCCGTAATCCGATACTGAGAAGGCTGAGGCAGGAGAATCCCTTGATCCTGGGAGGTGGAGGTTGCAGTGAGCCAAGATGCGCTACTGCACTCCAGCCTGGGTGACAGAGCGAGACTCCGTCTCAAAAAAAAAAGTAACACAGACTATATACAGTGTGACACCAGTCTTATAGCCGAAAAGCAAAAATACATTCTTTGCTATATATATATGCATGTAAGAAAACTATTTTAGAAAAAAGAAATGATTCCTACAGGCAGATGGGGAGGAGCACAGTAGTGCAAGCTATTAATAATTTTCTAGTTCTGGGGTTTACATACATTTGTGGGTTTATTATATGATTGTGCTTGGTAACATAAATGACAAGTATTGGTGACATGTATTGTTTGTATGTACTATATATATATATATATATTTTTTTTTTTTTTTGAGACGGAGTTTCATTGTTGTTACCCAGACTGGGGTGCAATGGCACGATCTCGGCTCACTGCAACCTCCGCTTCCTGGGTTCAGGCAACTCTCCTGCCTCAGCCTCCCGAGTAGCTGGGACTACAGGCGCGCACCACCATGCCCAGCTAATTTTTGTATTTTTAGTAGAGACGGGGTTTCACCTCGTTGACCAGGATGGTCTTGATCTCTTGATGTCATGATCCACCTGCCTCAGCCTCCCAAAGTGCTGGGATTACAGGCGTGAGCCACCGCGCCCCGCCTGTGCGATACATTTAAAAAGACAAAGAAGGAATAGCTGTAATGTGAGAACAGGGTAGAGGGGAGGGGTAACAGGTGGGGAGCCTGATGAGATCACAGGAAATCCAGAGAGGATGAGTGTGTATGATGTCCCACGGTGGGAGGAGCTGAGCCAGGGGAACCCCGGCTGGGATTAACCAGGGAAGGGCCCACAGCTGGAAGTCCCCAACTGTACAGTGGCCTTCTGCTGTGACTCTCTGCAAGCCCTTTCCCCTCTCTCACCCTCAGCCGGCCCTGCGAGTCTTTCTCATTCTTGGCATTCCAGAGCAGCATGATCCCAAGGCCTCAGTTACAGCTGAGAAAGGCATTTATGGAGCCTAGGGCCCTGGTTCCTCCCCTCCTCTGCCTCTCCATGAGCACTTCAGCCCCTGGGCATCCTCCTGTCCCTGGGAGGAGCCCTGGAGGTAGGGTGGCCCTGGACAGAGCCCCCACCTGCTGCCCACTGCTCTATCACAGGCTTGCACTAGGCATGCTGCCCCTAACACCTTGCAGGTTCTGGTCCCAACGTCAGGCTCTGATGAGCCCTGACCCGTCGCAGAGCAAGCCTTTTCATTCTCTTGGCAGATTCCAATTGACAGCCTCCAATGTGCCAGGCACCATTCCTGCACTGAGGAAACAGGCATAAGGAAGATAGTAGTCCTGGTCCTCATGGAGCTAACGTTCTATGTAAAATATATGGTGTGTTATAGATGCTATGGAGAAAAAGCAGGACCACTGTATAGAAAGTGTGGGGAAGGGTAAAGAGCAGATGGCCTCTGAGAAGGTGACTTGAGTAAAGACCTGAAGGAGTGATGGAGTGAGCCAGGTCGATACTTGGGGAAAGAACATGCCAGGTGGGAGGAACAGCCAGTTCCCTGGGGGGGAGCTGGAGGGGCCACTGTGCTGGAATGGAAAGAAAGGGGAAAAGATGAGGTCAGAGAAGTAAGGGGGATGGTGGGTGGACCATCCCCAGGCCAGGCCCTGGGGAGAGATGAGAACAAGGGTTGGGGCAGAGGTGAGGGAAGTCTCTGGAGGAGAAAGGCAGGTCCTGTCGAAGGAAGGAAGGAAGGAAGGAAGGAAGGAAGGAAGGAAGGAAGGAAGGAAGGAAGGAAGGAAGGAGGGAGGGAGGGCGGGAGGGAGGGAGGGAGGGAGGGAGGGAGGGAGGGAGGGAAGGAAGGAGGAAGGAAGGAAGGAAGGAGGGAGGGAAGGAAGGAAGGAAGGAGGGAGGGAAGGAAGGAGAGAAAAGAATGAAGGAAGGAAGGGAAGGAGGGATTAGGATAAGGTGGGGTGGGTATCATAGCACCTTGTGGGTGCCTGCTCTTGGCTTTGCTGTCATGCACACAAGCACACACGTACACACACGTGCATACACACACCAACACACACACATATGCAGGGTCCCTCCTGTAGATGCATCTGTGCAGCTCTGAGAGCCAGGCTGGGACATGAGCCATGGAGCACTGGATCCTCTCCCATTCTCCCAGTGCCATCATGGACTGGTTGTGTGACCTGGATAGGACCCCTTCCCTCTGTGGGCCTCAGTTTCCCCATCTGTATAGGAGGCTTGGATCTGTGGGTATTGGGGATCCCCCCAGCTCTTCTTACAGCACTTTGAAGCCTCCTGTCATGGCCCTGCTCCCAGACCAGGCCCATCCAGGGCTCTGCAGATGAATGTATGGTCCTCAGCCTGGT